AACATATTTGACCCCTGTGACCTTGAATATGGTTGAAGGTCATGCATTAGAACAAACTTTGTAGCCCTAATCATCTCAGTATGCTACTGGCCAAATATCATAACCCTGTGCATTTTGGTTATTCAGAAGAAGTTGTTTAATGTTTTTCACATATTTGACCCCTGTGACCTTGAATATAAGTGAAGGTCATTCCTTTGAACAAACTTGAAAGCCCTTTACCCCAGCATGCTACTGGCCAAAATTCATCACCCTGGGCATTTTGGTTATTCAGAAGAAGTTGTTTAAAGTTTTTTAACATATTTTACGCATGTGACCTTGAATATGGGTGAAGGTCATTTATTTGAACAAACTTTGTAGCCCTTTATCTCAGCATGCTACTGGCCAAATATCATTACCCTGGGCATTTTGGTTATTGAGAAGTTGTTTAAAGTTTTTAACATATTTGACCACTGTGATCTTGAATATGGGAGAAGGTCATTCATTTGTACAACCTTTGTAGCCCTTCATCTCAGCATGCTACTGGCCAAATATCATCACCCTGGGCATTTTGGTTATTGAGAAGAAGTTGTTTAAAGTTTTTAACATATTTGACCCCTGTGACCTTGAATATGGGTGAAGGTCATTTATTTGAACAAACTTTGTAGCCCTTTATCTCAGCATGCTACTGGCCAAATATCATTACCCTGGGCATTTTGGTTATTGAGAAGTTGTTTAAAGTTTTTAACATATTTGACCACTGTGATCTTGAATATGGGAGAAGGTCATTCATTTGTACAACCTTTGTATTCCTTCATCTCAGCATGCTACTGGCCAAATATCATCACCCTGGGCATTTTGGTTATTGAGAAGAAGTTGTTTAAAGTTTTTAACATATTTGACCCCTGTGACCTTGAATATAGGTGAAGGTCCTTCATTTGAACAAACTTTTTAGCCCTTCATCTCAGCATGCTACTGGCGAAATAATATCAACCTGGGCATTTTGGTTATTGAGAAGAAGTTGTTTAAAGTTTTTTAAGACAATTGACCCCTGTGACCTTGAATATAATTGAAGGTCATTCATTTGAACAAACTTGGTAGCCCTTCACCCAAGCATGCTACTGGCCAAATATCATATCCCTGGGCAGTTTGGTTATCGAGAAGAAGATGTTTAAAGTTTTTAACATATTTGACACCTGTTACCTTGAAAATGGGTGAAGGTCATTAATTTTAACAAACTTTGTAGCCCTTCATCCCAGTTTGCTTCTGACCAAATATCGACACCCCAGGCCTTTCGGTTATTAAGAAGAAGTCGTTTAATGTAAAATATTGACACCGGACGACGGGCGCCGCACCATGGCATAAGCTCACTTGGCACTTCGTGCCAGGTGAGCTAAAAAGGTTGAAAGATATATATAATTATCTTGTTACATATCTGTACCATTTACTCATTCACCCCTGAAGACACATTTGAACTCTTTCAATTCAAAGGTTGGAATAGTCCATTATGAAACAAACCTTTTAGTGAGATAGGTCATCTGTTGTGCTAGACCGCCGAAATTACCAGAAATAGCATATTCCCGATATTTGTCGTTGTTCATTGCAGTTATAAGGGTGTTTATAGTGGAACTCTTCCCGACTCCAGAAGGCCCAATTATGGCCACATTCAGCGGGTTTCTGCTATCAATATCGGGACCAAGTTCCTTGGCGATATCATTGTTCAACTTCTCTCTCCTTCGTTTAAGCTCAGCTTCGGGATCCTCCATTTTTCGTCGACGACGTGTGGACCTGCTTGTATCAGTGTCTGTATCTGACGTGTCGTCACCAAAGGAATACACATACCTGTCTGAAGTAGGATTCTGTCCGTCGTCCTTACCTCCCATGTTGGGTCCTTCAATAAAGCAAAAAGGGAAGCATAAATAAAGCAAGAGAGATGTATAAAATATACCAAAGAAATATTACTATTATTATTTTTATTTGATTCTTAAAGGCCCTTCAACACAGAAGAGGTAATTAGGGCCAATAAAAATAGACACGGCATCACAAGTGATACACATCCCCTCGCACTCACACATTGTGTGACATATGTATGAGGCAATGAATAGAAAATTCAATGATGTATAGCAGTATCTGCTCTAGCGACTGCATTCTTTGATGGATAAGAGATTTTTATTCCTTTGAGGAATGAAGTTTCAAAATCCCTCCAGTACTTTCTGTGAAATATAGCGATAACAAACTTTAATCAGAGTGCCGAGGGCGCTCAGGGATACTGTGTATGAAGGATTCAAATAATGGAATAAAGGAGGTGTTATATCAGTACAGAATGGCAGTAAAACATGAAGAACATGTTGTAGTAAGGGTCATAATAGCCCATTCCTTAATCTTAATTTTCAATAAAAATATATACAACAAGCAGAGTATTGCTAAAACAATATAGGTCCCTTACTGGCTACCATTAGCAGTATAAAATTAAGTAACGATGACCTTGACCCAACAGCCCTTAAATTGAAACATGTCTAATATTATATGGTCCTTAATTAGTGTTTCAAATCGATGGAAATCCTTCAAGGAATGAAGCTGCTACAGTGCAGACAATGATCTTTTTAAAAATAGTAACAGTGACCTTGACCAGACAACCCTGCAAACCAAAATTGTCCCGTAAGATTATGGGAAAGTTTACGATTAAATAAAAAAAAATATATAGATAATATAAATAAATATTTATGATATTATTCTTTTAATTTGTTATTACAATGTATCATGATTAATTATACAAAAAATTAAAACGAGATTGTATTATTTCCAGTGCATGTAATCACCGACTTATGCAAGTCACTTGTGTATCTCTCCTTCTCTTGATATTGTAACGAAGGTTAATTAAAGACCTATACAATTATTCAGTTTCTGGTTAATGTGAATAATATAAATATACAGATTTAATTATCTAGAGACTGTATTGGGAAGCTATCTACAAACACGTTAGGCACAGCTGCTGTTGCATTGGGAAGCTATCTATAAACTCGTTAGACACAGCTGCTGACGGCTACTTTAGTATAAGTCAACATTCTCTTTCACTTAGAGACTTTCCATTGAGACACAGAAAACATGAAGCCTACTTTATCAAGGACAGTTATATATTATCAAACGGTCGTTCAACAAGTCGTGAGCATGAAACTACGCAATGATGGACAAGGGGAGAAAACTCTTACACACACTTTAGAGTATTGGAATACGAGGCGTAGTAATTTGAACCACATATAGTTCGGAACTTTCACTGATTAAAAACGCCACTGTTAAAGATCTTAAGATATTTTCTTTGATTTTTTTTTGTCTTATACAGATATATTCTACCATATAAAGGGATAAAGTGTTGTTGTTGTTTTTTTGTGAAGAAATTATTCGGTCGAAAAAGCGTAATAATTTGAGATTGATATAGTTCATGATGCTCACTGAAAAAACTTGCCTTTTTGTAAAATTTGTACTTTTTTTCTTTGATTTATTGATCATTTTCATATGTATTTCATCATTTTATAGCATTAATCATACCATGAAATAATCAAAACAGGATTTAAAGATCTTCTGCGGAAGAAGAAAGTCTGTTGTTTGGTTTTGATTTGCCCAGGCTTGGCGAGGACCGCTATGAATGCTGTACACAGCATCCAAAAATCGAAGATGGCTGCCAAGATTAATTTTGTTTATTTCATGAGTTTGAAATATTAAACATGCAAAATTAAGGACCAAGGGGAACCTACAAAGAAAGTTTAAGAAAGATCCATCCAGCACTTACTAAGTAATAGCAATAATAAACCTTAACTGTCAAAATCCAATATGGCAACAGGTCAGCCATTTTGTTTGACCTATCAGTCTAAAAGTAAACTTGCACAACTAGGGACCAAGGGGAACTTACATAGAAAATTTGAGAAATATCCCTCAAGAACTTCCTGGGAAATAGCGATAACAAACCTTAACTGTCAAAATCCAAGATGGCCACTAGTCAGCCATTTTGTTTGATTAACCAGTCTCAAACGAAAACATGCACAATTAAGGGACCAAGGGGAACTTACATATTAAATTTGAGAAAGATTCCTCCAGTACTTTCTGAGAAATAAAGATAATAAGAATTGTTTAAGGATGAACGGATGGACAACGGACCACTCCCAGGGGGAAAAAAGGCACATTTGAGGTACGATTTAGGCACATTTTAGGTACGATTTAGCCCCATTTTAGGAATCCCTCAGCCAGGGGTAGGATTTAGGCACATTTAAGGTATACCTCATTCAGGGGTATGATGTAGGCACATTTTAGGTATCCCTCAGTCAGAGGTATCATTCACGTCCCCTTTCGGCACATTTAAGGTATTCCTCAGTCAGAGGTATTATTTAGGCACATTTTAGGTACGATTTAGGTACATTTTAGGTATACCCGGTCAGAGGTATAAAAAAGGCACATTTGAGGTACACTTTTTGGGGTCCCTAAGGCATGCTTTAGGTCCCCCAAAAAGTGTACGTCAAATGTGCCTAAATCATACCTCTGACTGAGGTATACCTAAAATGTTCCTAAATTGTACCTAAAATGTGCCTAAATCATACCTCTGACTGAGGTATACCTAAAATGTGCCTAAATCGTACCTAAATCATACCTCTGACTGAGGTATACCTAAAATGTGCCTAAATCATACCTCTGACTGAGGTATACCTATAATGTGCCTAAATCACCTCTGAAATCCTTTATAATCTAGCAGAGGGAATAAGGGATTTCATGCCAATTTGGTTCAGAGCATCCTAAGGCCAAGGCCACTAAATTTTGTATAAATGGTGGGTGGTGGCCCCCCTTATTAAAGGGCAAAGGAGTGGGGCCCAATAAGGGAAATAGAGGAAAAACTTTTAAAATCATTCTTCTTTTACGGTAGGAATAAAGGTGTTATATCCTAAATTTGTCTTGAGCATCCTTAGACTAATGGGATTCTATTTTGTATAAACGGTGGGTTCAGCCCCTTTGGCTTCAGAGAGGCAGAGATTTAGGGGAGAATTGGAGGTTTAAATCTTCAAAATCCTTTATCTTCTGTAACATTGGCAGGATTTTATCTAAATTTGGTCTCTGTGCCTCTTGTTGTGAATATAGTAGCGTTTTAAAGGAAAAGGTGACGGACACATGATGGACGCTGCGGAATGGCCTATTAATTTAGCTCACCATGCATGGTCCTTTGACTTATAATGATCCATGGAAACTCGGGACAAATTATTTTACCAGGGTGACATACTGGAAAGGATCAATATTATTGTCGGTATATACTCATTCAGTATAATGGAAGACTAGTATGCAAGAGGTCCCAATCTATCAAAGTTTACTTATATATCCTCTACAGAGAAGATGGGAGTCTAACTCCAAACCTTGGCATTCAAACATTGTATCATCCAACACTACCATACCTGCCAAGCTACCCTATTTCGTCGAGTTACACCCAAAATTGTAGTCCTTCGCCCACTTTAATAACTTCACACGCCGGGTTACAATTTTGACCCAGATTTTGTCAATTTCACCCGTTTTCGCCCAGAATCTTTTCATATACTATTAGAAGTTCCTGTAGTCACTTGGAATTATCTAAACTTTCCATCCTTTGTCATAAGAAAGACAATCTATTTCCTGTTTCTGTTTCTCACAGACAGGTAATTAAGTTGTTAGTTGTTGATATACATTGTACGTACTAGAACGGTTTTTACAAATGTTTATATATAGACCTTAAAATAAAATAAAAATATTAAAATATTCAAGTTCTAATTTATTATCTACTTTTCTTATATATTTTGCGAAAAAAGACGTCACATATGCTATGACCCTCTATTTTATTTTCAAAAGGGGTCATCAACCTCTTTCAGTATATTCAGGACTGGCAGGTATGCAATATCTATCTGATGCGCAGTGCTTGGCAGTAATTAAGGGATTACTCCTCTTGGTGTGTGAGGGGAACGTGACAACTAACACGTACAAACTAGTATCTGCAGAGTTACTGGCGTGTACGAGTCGGCGTAGGTCATTATACTGATGCCTCTATCAGTCAAAGTAAAGTACTTGTGTCTAGAAACATGCAGTTTATCTTCATAGATATTTCTCCTGTGAATTTGATGGTTGGATGAAAGTATTCGCGTAATCAATAAACTTGTCAGGAAGTGACTCCAGGTCAAATGTCATTGTGGTTGGATTAAACAATATTTCATTTTCTTCATATCACGGACTTTAAGATAATCTCATTGATTCCATGGTAATATACATTAATATATAACAAGTACACAGGTATAGGAATATAAGGATCTGGCAACAACATTTTCAATCTTATATAAAGCCATCTCCTAGAATGTAATTACAAAATAGAAGTACTTCAACATACAGTTAGTTAACATATATAAATTGTTAAAATTTACAGATGATGATAACACTAACCATGTGATTCACCAAACATCATCATCAGGTAGAAAGGTCGTTGTGGTAAAATAAACTGTTTTACCATTGTCTTTAATGCCAAATAAGCATTAACTGTTTTTGTAGAATCTATTTCTCAAATTATAATAATTTCACCAAAAGAGAACCGAAATAATTTGACAATAAAATGAAAAAGTACCTTCTCAGTTTGATATGTCATTTTGATAACAAAAAAAGTGTGACTTAAGCAAGTCTACTTATTCGGAACTTTACCCAGAAAGCTTCCGAATGTCATTCAGGGAATCCTACTTTCGTTTTCGTGTAGCACAAAAACGATGACGAAATTTAAATGAAAGTATTCATTCATATTAGCTAAATTATATTTGAAATATCTTAAGCAACGAATATACAATACAAAACTATCAATCATGTATTCCTTATATTTCTAATGTTCTATAAATAGACAGGTGCGACATTCAGTTTTTTTTATAAACCTTGGGAATTTTACAGATGTTAACCTCTTCCAAAATCAAATATAACCATAGAACATGTTGGTTATAGCTAATAATAATGACAATTCGCCGTATGGTTGACATGCTTAAAATAAATGACACGACAGAGTTTGACGCAAACCAAATGTTACTTTCTCGATAACAGCTCAGGCTGCGAAAACTTACAACCGACATTGAAAGAAAAACCGTGTTAGTTTAAATGTGAACGATGCACAAACCTTTAAATTATGTGTTGACAATGACATGGCCTTACCTGATTATGTCAAGAAAATTCAACAAAACTTCTCCGGTATTGTCTAGGACCTACAGTGTATTGGTCTAATTATGTCTGTGTCAGCCAAATCTATACAACACCTATACAAATGTATTCATCCGCATTGAATTAAAAAGCGCCCATAAATAACTATTTCAAATATGAAAAGAATATAACATAACAACCCTGCTTTTCTTGTAAAATAAAACGGGATTGAACATTATTTTGTCATTTAACATTATAAACGCTTCATGTAAATTATGGACTATTTGTTTAAGCGGATTATTAGGCGATTCGCTCACTTAGAACAAAACGTATCGTGTTCTGATTGGGACTTTCGGTTCGCTATTGGACGGAGTGCGAAGCATGAAGTGAAAGTAGCAGTGAGAAAAACCAATTTGTAGAAGAATTTGGCGAGGTTTTCCCTTTTTCAGTTTTAGAACTGCGATTGCAATTGTTGCAAAATTCTTCAGTAATGTTAGGTAAGTATAGTAAATATTGTTTATTAATTATCTTATATGATATAACCATGTTGAGGGATACTTAGTTTATTAGCTCACCTTGTCCGAAGGACCAAGGACAACTATTGCCATACCGTGGCATCCTTCCGTTATTTGTCATACGTCGTCTGTCAACCATCGTCCGTCCCATCTATCGGCAACTTTTTTCAAATGGCTTCTTAATCTTCTGACCACTAATTGGAATTTAACTAAATTTGACTGGAAGCATATCCCCACTTCCCAGATAGCACACCGCCGATGGGCCAACGTTGGCCCAACAAAACTGTACCATTGGCCCAATGTAGACATACAACATTGGCCCAACAGCATTTTGTCCGTTGGCCCAACGTTGGGCCACTGGTGGCAGAAAATTCTGTTGGCCCAACGTTGGGCCATGGTCTGAAAATATTGTTGGCCCAACATTGGGCCACCGTCTGATAATACTAAAATTGTACTGCTATAACAACGCCCGGTATATTTTACATTTCTGTCTGTTTAAGGTGGCTCCACACATCGTCATCAGCGTCCATTTTCGTGACGTACTTCCGGAAAAAGTACAGCTCGGACTCAATTATCTTGATCAAAATGTGCTTGTACACCGTGTCGTCATTTCCGTATTGTGTATCGGGCATTCAATATCTTAGTGCAAATTATAGTAACACCTGGGCCGTTTTCGTTTAAATGGTCAAACCGCTCGGACCACTGTTGTTTGTTTATTAAATAAGGTCGGACCTACTAATCTGATGCTGCTTTCAGGCGAGCCTTGAGAAAGCCTTGCAAGGCCTGCAATACACATTTGCAGGTCCGCCAGGATTTAAACCCAAATTGTTACATTTATAAACGGTCAAACCGGTTGCTCCGCATAAACGAACAGGCCCCCTGGTAAACAATAGTACACATGCGTGCCGATGATATGTCAACACCCGATATCGAGATTTTACCGGGAAATGTAGCTTTCGAATTCATAGACATAAACAGACTCACGGAAAGACAGTGACATGAGACCAAACGAACTCAAGAAGGTTATATAGGAAACGCATGGAATGCGGATGTAACGACCTCACATGTGCAACACGAGTTCATAAGCTCGAGGTCGTTACGATTTTCGCTGTTGAGGGAGCTTCTCTCTGTCGATTAAACAGTCTGCGACGTTAGGCACTGGTCCGATGCCCACGACTAGTAAATTTAAGTCTGGACTAGTATTGAAAATATTTAACTAGTCCGACTGGAATAGTGGCAATTTTCCTCCAAAATAATGGAAATATTATTAATGGTATATATTTTGCACTATAAAGCTTGTCACAAGTTCTAATCCTATCGTAAAATACAGTATTCGTCAAAGCTTCGAAGTTTCGATCGCGAAACTGGGTTCTGGATTTTAGTAGTTACCGAATATTACTTCCGGTTTATAACCACGTGAAACCAACCATGGCGATGTTGCTAAGTTGGAGGAAAGGTTAAAAACCAGCTAAGCCTGTCCGTGAACAGACAGAAAAAAATGCTCTAACACGAAAGAAAAAATTTCGGTTCTGGCTAGTGCTTAAAGGCTCGATGGAAACAACAGTAATACTGTATTAGAGATAATTGGCGATCACATTCCGTGCTCCGTTTGTTAAGTTAATTATTGGGGGACATTTTGTTTTTAGTTCTAATAACTTTCCAATTTAGATCACAATTTACACTTCATGCTGTAAAAAAGACCAGTCTGTAATTTGGACTAGCAAAATCACAGTTGGACTATTGAAATTATGGGTTCACTAGTCCAAATGACTAGTAAGGAAAATAGTTAACGTCACAGACTGATTAAATCGTGTTTACAAATGTACAGTCCTCTTACTCTGTGAATATAATGTTTTGTAAAATATCAAGATACCTATGAAATGCATGTGTGAGTGCACGTGAGAACGGCATACAATGCGATAGCCTCTGGTCACATATGTACCTGACATGTAATTATAAGTATAATGTGAGTTAACGTACTGTGGAATGACGTCCAAAGTGTACATGACTGAGGGTAATTTGGTTCCATTAAAGAACAATAAATTGATAATTTTGATATCATATTTTTGATTTATTTCCATCATTTTTGTTATATGTAAACAGGGACAACTGTCATTGTGTAAATGTCACCCCTCTGCAAAAAGTTCCGATTTTTTTCAAGGAAGATAACTCTCACCCGGATCAAAGTGATTGTAAAATGTAAAATAAATTAATTATAAAGCCATTGTGTATATTTTGTTCAATTTCCCATTCTATATGTATAGATCTTTGTGTCCTGTTTGCTTTTAGCTTGTAGATAATAACTTTTATCCGTACAAATTCAATAAAAAACACTTTGTGTAACATGTGTTACATATTTTGCGATAAAATAAAATATTTGTAGGGTTAATTAGAAATGCTTCTTTTCATTTTATTATTGTTGTTATTGTTCCGAACAATGTCACACACACAAAAAAACGGAAAACATTAAAATTGACGAAAATTCAATTTTTTGGTATTTTTTCCAAAAAAGTCCCCAAACTATCGGAGTGTTTAGATTTTCATAAAATCAACTCTACATAGTTGCATAACCATTATGTGAAAGTTTCAACAAATTTTGCTGGTTAATTGCGGAAGTGTGGAGCCACCTTAAAATACAGTTTAGAGTTTAGCGGTTTCGTTTTGTATTTCAACCAAACAAGAGTACCGGTACCTTTCCCTGCAAATATGCAAATCGGGATCTGGAATTATCCAATCACGATTTTCATCACTCTACATGCCAATATGTCACATGGGCAGATGGTGCGAACAGGACATGGGGCTAAACAACCAGAATTTGAATTCAATGAGTTGTCAATGAAAATTGAATGTAGATCTTATATTATATTCAACTTTTATCATTTACACGTTTTCATCCTACTCGTAGATAATTGCTGATACATCAGTAATTTACTTTTGTCAAGACATTGCAACACATACCCGTTTCCAATTTTTCCCGATATCCGTAAGACTATGGTTCGATGATCAGTTAATTTCCAATCGTGGGCCAACGGCGAGATGCGGTCGTTGGCTATGCAGCTAAACTCCGCCGTTGGGCCAACGGCGAGATGCGGTCGTTGGCAATGCAGCTTAACTCCGCCGTTGGGCCAACGTCGATATGTGATCGTCGCATCGCGCCGTTGGCCTGACAATGTCATGCTATCTGGGTTATAGGTAGTGGAGAATCAAAATTGTTCAAATTGAGGGGCTGACCCCCAGGGGGCAGAAGTGTGGGGCCAAATGAGGTAGTTTGGCAGTATTGCTTTTTAAGCGACTTCTCTCCGACTGAAATTAAGAGAAGGATCCTTCTCTTAGTGGGCACAAAACGACTTGAAAACGTTGTAGTAATGTCAGGACATAACGTTGCATTAAGGTAGCAACAACGTTGCAAATGAAAGTTTGCAGGACCTTTTCATGTAACATTCGCAAAACGTTTGTGTGTAACATTTTGACAACGTTTTGTTAACGTTGTACTGACGTTGTCGCCACGTCGTATTTATAATCCAATATATACAGGAGATCATTTACCTTTTTACCTCTTCGTCAACACCGTTTTTAGCTTGAAGTAGCTGATGTAGGCACATATTGGTTCGGTAACATACTGTTAACTTGTTGTGTACGTAGCATAAAAACTGGGATAAAACTTGGACGGTATATTTTTCCAAAAAGTGGTTAAACGAGATTTAAAACAGTTTAGAGATGGGGCTTCTACTACTGTGTTGGGAAAGGAGTTCCAGAATCCACCACTCTTCTACTAAAAACATTTTGAGTGACCCTGGTCCTGCTCTGTTTCTTGAATAGTTTTGTTGTTGTTTCCCCTTGTTGTTGTTTGTGCAAAGGTAAATAATTTATCTTTATCAAGTATATCAATGTTGTTGATTATTTTGTAAACCTCGATCTACTAGATCATTGCGTTTTCTTCTATATTCCAATGTAGGTAGGCCTAGACACGGAGGTTATCCAGTTTGTCCAGTCTATTTCAGGAAAGTTGAAGTCTCCTGTGATTCAGATGTGGCTGTTGTTCCTGGATGATATCTCGGCTAACAATTTTAGTAGATTTACAAAATTTTCTTGTGTTGCATTGGGACTTTTGTAAATATTTATCAGAAGAATTATTTCTGTAGTGGTTGCTTTCACACTCTGTATATTCATCAAATAATGTGGTGAATTCAGCTCTTTCAACTGTTTTCTTTTCGTCGACGTAGATTATGGTGCCCGTCCACCGTCGTCTTTGCCAATAAAGCATTTTTAGCCAGGTATTTCGTAGAACTTGTGTTATCCACAGGTGTGGAGTTTACTTTATGGTGAATTTCTGATAGCAATATGATATTAGGAGATCTTTCTTCTATCAGTACCTTCAATTCTTCGTATTTGCTGGTCGTCAATATGTCGACGTTAGAGTAAAAGACGAGGAGGTTGTTAAAAGCTTCAGTATTTACAGATTTAAAACTGTCATCCTATATAGGCTGTTCGTTTGGGAGTTACGGGTCGATGTTAGTAGCTGTGTATTGGGAATTCCTCCTACTATTGTTTGGTCAGTGTTGCCGTCTGTAATGAATGTTTCAAGTTCATAGTAAGCCGAACTCGAAAACACGTTCTCATGTTGCAGTGACGTCTCTGACCTTATCAGGCTAAGACAGTCCATACTAGTTCTGGAGGGGGTAGGTGACATAGGTTGTGTTCTGCCTGCAACAATTTCATCATCCGTGGTTTCTAGGATAACCTTATATCGTAACAAATACCTTAAATGCATTCACATTTGCTATGCTGATATGAATCACAACACATCAACATACTAAGCAAATTATAAGATGCCCTGTAATGCAGTCGAATAAAAAACGACAAACACAGCGTTACAAGTGCAAATGTTTAATTGAAAGTTTGAATACGTTTGCAAATATCAACTATTTGAGTAAAAAATGGTATAAGTTTTTGGACTACCCATAAGCACAGATAATTGATCT